TCTACCGTCATTTCCTGGGCAAATATGTACTTTTCCATAAGACCTTTCATTCGGAAATGAATTTTGCCCCATCTCATCCTCTAGATCTCCAATCGATTCATCGACAAAAGTGGGAACTAATCCCAGCCCCGTCAAGTGACGATCGTATCCCCTCATGTCATCGTTGATTTGATCTCTCGCCCTCGAGCACCAATCAGAGCAATTAGGGGCTGAGTGATCTACCTCATAATAGCCCATTATAGCCTATAAATTATTATGAATTACCACGGATAGAGCAACAGCCCTTCATTCCCTTGTTCATTTAACTTTATCCAATGAAGTGTAGAATCCTTCAAAGCTCTCTTCTTTTCCACTCATGACAGCTCGTTTGCATAATTTCCACAGCAACTGACAGCCTGACTGTAACGAGCAAGAATAATTAAAGGTCATTGAAACTTTGATAATCTTGGCACAAATTTGTTAGTTATTCATGATTTCCATCAATTTAAATTCTTAGCTATGGGTTCCATGGGATACTCCACAACTTATTTTCAGATCTAAAGTCTGATAGGTACGGTATCAAAGCCAAGTACAAACGGAGAATTCAACTTTTTTCGCACATATACTGAAAATGTCAAGAGATGAAGGCGAAGGTGGGTGGTGAGGGGAGTGACAACTGTGCTGCCGTGACTGTTCACTTTCGGTGGAAACCTTTGGAAAACGTCAAGCCTACTAATTTGCAGGATAACTAAATGTCAAATTAATCGCGGTTTTTTTCATAATGAGCTCGCCTGAGATGATGAAAACACCTCTAAGATCGTCAGCTGGCCTTTAAAGCTATTGTCAGAATGCAACATGGTTCGAGAGAATAGTCGGATGCATGGCGCATCCCAAGAGAGACTGCGTATCCACCCATCTTTGCCACTAAAAGTGTGAAATTTTCGATTATTACTGGATAATTAGCTATAATTCTGTGTTATTACTACTAGTGTTTTAGTATTTTTCTAGTGTTTTGTACTGGGTTGACCCGTAAGTGATGGCTTCTCTTTCTAATTGGAAATTTCGGATGAAAATGGAATGTTTTGTCCTAATTTTATAAACTACTTGGTAAAGAATTTTTTTGCTCCATGAGGTAACTGATTTGCTGCACCTTGATTCTTTCTATGATTCTATTTTCATTCAATTTGGGTGCTGTTGGAGTGCGAATGTCGACGAAATTGAGCATTTTTCGACGCCCTCTTTTTTTCTCAATTTAATTGGAGCGCTGAAACCGCAAAGGCCCTTTTGATGAGTGTACTACCAATAAGCGATGCTAAAAGATTTTAGTTTGCTCTCACCAACAAGTTCTCCACCGGATGCCTTATTGAGTCCTACAGCGACTTACTGACCCAGCCTATTCATTGAGATTCACACCAAAGAGCGGGATGGTGGATCTCACGAAAGACTTCCACGTTTTTAGTCAAGCTCACTTTCACTTACAGGAGAGCCTTCAAATACTTGGTGATGGGGTACTGCGAGGAGCCGCTGCTCGAAAAATCGTCTCATGCGGAGTGCCTTCTCAATGCACTTCTGCGCTACCTTGGCATCATCTGGGAGAGTATAGGAGATAGGAACTAATTTTGGTACCTGAGTAGCTGTCCAGCTCATGCGGAAGCATGCTTTCAGCAGTCGTACGTTACGACCCTAATTTCGTGTTTCGGGAGAAGATTGTGTACACCTGGGGAAAATTCCCCTGAATCATAAATTTATCCGTTTCTATGATTTTAAAATTAAAAAATCAACAAAAATTAACTCTTTATTCTTATGATCTCAAGCTATCGCTTCGCAGAGTACCCCACCAGTAGTTGCCGGCTCCTCAAAACTACCATTTCTGGTAAATGATCGGAGGTGTCAAACTTCCCGGCTTGACGGCAAATTTTTGGAAAAGTTTGGCAATATGATCGGCCGGTTGTGGGGAGGAGGTAGTATGGGTAGTATGGTGGGGGGGGGGGGGGAGCAGAATACGTCGGGGAAAGAGTGGGAGTGTCGTGTTAAGCGAAATTATCCTAAACTGCCCTGTGTCAACTACAAGTAGAGGGCACCAAATTGTACGATTGCCACAGTGATAACCCTGAAAGTAAGGCATACTTAAGCTTGCTGGGGGCACCGAATGGTACTCAATTGAGCCAGTACAGCCTACTCACACCATTTTCCAGCTTCACAGGAGTTTGCAGTTCTCACTAAAGTGATACTTCGTTATTTGAGCTAACAAAAGAAGCTAACTAAAGTGCGGTATGCCCTTCTGACCCGAACAACGCCGATTTTTCCTTACTGGACAACGCAATGTCCACCACCCGCGGTGGACACCGTCCTACGGGGTTGAACGGCTAGTACAACTTATTTTTGATCGAGAAATAAAGCCTGATACCCATGAAATCTCCATCAAAACTGGAATATATGGAAGAAAAGCGGAAAATTCCATCATTTTCTCAAAGTTTTTCATGTAAAAAATGATTCTACCCCGATTTTTCAGCTGCGCTAACTCGTTCCCAACTTCATCAGTTTTCATATTCCTCAGTTCGAAATCGCCCCCATTAGGTTTAGATAGATCACAGTGCAGCGAGGTTATTTATTGATTGCCACCTAGATCTATAATTACTTACAGGAACGCCCACGGGAATGACCTACACAGTACCCGCGCTCAGATTAGCTATTGCCCTTATTCTTATATCGACCGTTAGAGCAGGTGGGTTATGCAACTTCGATTTAATCATTAACAAATTTCCTAATATTTTCAATTGTTCAACTAATTAATCAACGCTATCATTAGCCTAATAACCGACTATTTATTTATTGAAATGGTGCCAAACACCACCGCATACCATTACCCCTCTTCCCACAAAACTGAACACATTTTTTCCATATTTGTTTGTTTCATATTTTTTATATTCCTCCTTTAAAGCGACTATATTCAGAGAGTAAAGAAGATTCGTTGGCAATCGCTAGACGCTGCTGCCCCAAGCAGGCGGCTGAATGCTGTGCTGAAACTATTGAGAACAGGTATGTGAACTTAAGGCGCTGGCCACTTGTAGGTGGTACTTCGAGGACTTTTTGTGCAAAACTTGTGCTACGTGAAGGGGATAAAAATGTTCGCCTTAACCCAGGGAGGCCTGGATGGGTGATCCAACTTATGTAGATGAAAAGGGTATTTTGCGCTACAGTAATCCCAGGTTCGCAGAAGAAGAACTTCGAACTCCCCCCCCCCGCAGGTGAACGGTATTTATTTTCTTCATGTTGTATGTCCCTAATATAAAAAAGGAAAGCAGTTGACTAAAAACACCTAAAACTTAAACACTCTGATGATTCGTTTCTTCCTCCATGAGACGAACCATCATTCCCGTCGTGCTGTTCTACTGACGATCCATCGTACTGTGTGAAGTCGAAAAGTGAGAAGGTGCTGGCAAGGGTGATTCAGAAACGGGTAGTAATTAGATAAATCAGTAAAGAGGAATTGTGAAAATCGGAGATAGAATCGCCTTACGGTCTCTATTCATATGAGGACCTTACCGTAGGCTCTTTTTGTGTTACCGTGGAGCGGCGCAGTTCGGCGACGGGGGGGGCATTTTGCACTTTTGCTACTTCCCATCGACGTGTCGACCTATCTAGACAGCCTCTTCTCGAGTTGACAGGTTTTACCATGATGGCTTGACGACCTTGCTCCAGCTTCACAAGAGTTCACAGGTTTCGCTAGAGTGAGACTTGTAAACCGGCCTAGGAAAGCAATGATAATACAAAATGCCCCGTCGCCGAACTGCGCCCTGTGGAGCTTTTTTGAGTCTGTTCTTCTCAGCACTGTACTGCGATGTACATACAAATTTAAGAAAAGGTTGAAGGATAAAGTCTTCGCCGTTGATCAATCCCTTTGTGGGATGCGGCACGCATTCTACTTCCATTCAGAATCGTAGTGGCTTATTGAATGCGATGTGGCCTATACAATGACTTGCGGGGGCCAGCCGATGTACAAGTCAGTGTTTATCCTCCCAGACGAATCTGGTACCAATTACCGTCCAGGGGAGCAAGGCTTGATTGGCTTGGATGGGAGCCGATCCCAGATTTGATCACGCGCATATTAAGCGTGCCACTTTACACTACGCCACCTCCGTCTCACAAATACCTTTAAATAATCTGCAACGCCTTATTGTAATCATAGATCTGGGTGCGATTCTGCTAATATGAGGCATCTTTGGTGCACTAGTTCGTACAGGTTAATCACAATTGCACACAAGCAATGTGCTAAAAAACGCGAAAAAAAAGAGTTGAAGGAACATTATCAAAATGGATAAGCAAAACAAAGATGGGTTGGCTCTTATACAAATAGGGCATTCAAAGAGCTACGTATAATACTGGAATTACCACAAAAGGGATGAGCAGTTTTGACTCAGCCCAAAGGGCTAAGGAACTCCGAAGTGGGTGGAACATTTTGAAGCATTGTCGTTCCATTCAAACACTAGTCAGAGTTTTGCACGAGGAGTCCTTTGAATTTCCCTCAAAGGTTATTAGCGCGGGCCCTTTGTTTGCGGGTCAGATGATAAAAATCAGATGAACCGTTCACTTAGCTTGCAAATACGAAACTGCCGTTCTGAAGCTATAACGGCTGCTGAACGGCAGTTTCGTGTTTTCACCGTTCTGTTTATATATAGGTCGAAACTAGCTCTGACTTATGTTAATGTCCCGTTGTAGAACTACTATTAGCGCCCTTGTTTCCAACGCCTTTCTTCACATGATTTTCAGGCTCGCACTCAACTGTTCATTGCCTTTGGAAGGCCTTCTCTCTGCATCCAATTGTATCCAAACTGCCATGTATGGAATGAAGAGCTTGAAAAGGATACAAATCGAAGGTTAGGCAAAAAACCTCTCTATTCTGTGCTCAGCCAATGACCATGCGGTCATCCCGTTACGAGTATTCGTCCGTTGGAATGTCAAATTGATGGTCGTATTGCATCATGACCAGAATTTCGCCTTTGGCGCTGCCCTAGGTCTAGAAACATTAGTGCTGCTGTCTTAATGACTAATTGTTAGGGCGATATGGCGTCCTTTGGAAGGAAGCGACACGTTTGTCCCTCAGGCAGAAATGGAGCGAACAAATAAGTAATAGAATAGTTGAAGAGAAAAATGGATTAGATTGGGAAGCATCCATCATTTTCTACAGAATGAGCCATACATTCGGTTTTCGTTGGATATCGTAGAAACCTTGGAAGATTAGGATAGCAACCCCCCACGAGTCCTTAAAATAATACTGATACTACGTAAATAAGCTGCTTTACTATGCAGTTCAAAGCTGAAGTAAACACTCGATTTCACCTGGAAGAAGGGAATTCGTTCAAGCCCTCAGCTGATGAATAGCGCTCTTAACACTTAAAAACCAGAAGGGTCAAGCTGAAGCTGAAGAAGGTCCCACCATCTGCATAAGAATCTCATTCTGACACAGAAATAGGGGATAATTTCAGCAGATAGCATGAAAGTTGATAAAATTAAGTTAGTGCATCGAGATAGTAGCCATCATATTTTCAAAATTTTTTGATCTGAAAATATTATTGTTATTTCAATTTGAATAAGAAGCTGGAGACTTATCATAAAAGTTTGTCTTCAGATGTGGAATGCTGTCAAGTCTTCTCTAACGACTTCACCGACGAATCGGCAACCTGCCTTTCCACATGTACCGGAGCCGGTACGATCGCCATCTCTTCAGACGGTCGATAAATTTAAATCGATTAGGTCTTGTCGTCCCGATGACGAAAATTATAAGGTTGGTTTTAAAGTACATTTTGGAACTACCTGGTATCCTTCACTGCTCCACCCTCTGAATCGGGCCATATTCTGATCGTATTTTGTCCCTAGGGTGGAGGTGGGTACCCACTAAGTTTATTCTGAGGGGTAGTTTGACGGTTCAGCGAATTTTCCTTCGAATTGCTCGCTGTTTTTCAGACTTTGGTGCAGGCATCAGGTGGTTTAGAACCCAGCGGATGTGATACTCGTGTTCCAAAACAAATTACTTCGAGGACGAAATTCTAGAGGCGTCCATGACAGGGGAATTTCCGTCAAAGCCTGACTCGAGTTTGAAGAGAGGCCAGTGCAGATTGAACGGTGCCTGACATCTTCAATAGAACCAGATTTTCAACACCTTTCTATTTGAAATCGTAAAATGGGAAGCTGCTAGGGAATGGGAGGGAAAAAAGATGAAGCACTTTGGGTCAATAAATTCTGGAATCTGCGCGAGACACTTCCTTCCTTAATCGTGATCCACTGGGATACCTGAAGGGTCTTGGAGAACGCTCTGCAGCTGACTGATGAATTGGAGGCCGCGGATCAGTCAGTTGGAGAGGCTGTACATCTGAAATCCCTGGGTAATAATCATATTATTATTATCTGATCATATCCATGGTTCATAATATTATTCGGGTGTTCATCACAATGTGATGAAGTAGAATACATTTTGGTCAGCAAAAACAAAAAAAAAATCGTCTTTCCAAGCCGCCCAAGCAAACTCTCACCAGTGAGCGAATATGTGTTCCTACTTTCGCTCTGCGCAAAATTGACTCCAAATTCTAGTTCTTAGTTTATAGCAGGCATTATGTTGTTGTAAGTCGCGAGGCGAGGATAGTATTTCTAACCTTGCTTGTTTGGCGCGCTCTTCGCTTTCCAAGACTGAAAAGAAGTAAGGATCCAAATGAGGAACTAGTGCTGCTTCGAACCCGATCGGGCACTGCGGGAACGTGCCTTTGACTAGTTAGTATTGGACCGTAAAGTCGCCAACTTTTTCTTTGTCAAGGAGCTTGGCTTGGAGTTATTGTTTTTTCAATTTCATCATGAATTAAACTGCAATTTTCCTTTTCAGTGCTTCCGCCGATGTCAGTCTTTTCTACGGTCCAGACCTACCCGAGACAAGAAATTCCCGTACTTAGCCGTCTGTGATCTTGCCAGTCGGCTTCACCAAATTTGTATCATCGGGCCGAACGTTGAAAGAACTGAGGATACTCGTAAATCTTACCATCAGGCCTCTAACCACCATCCCATTAATTGGCACAGCAGTTGGTAATCCGTACATCCCCATGCTAAGCATGTCAAAACTTAACCGCCTCAGTTTTATACAAGTGGCAAAGTTATTGGTCCCAATAGGATGAGTCAAGACTTTCTTTGATTCATTGATTAATTCCTCAAGAACGGCTAAGCACCAGCAATTTTTTTTCTAAATGCCTCAGAAAAATATGTGCGGAATGCACTCGCGATAATTCCCGTTCGGCAAAGGCTGTCATAAAGCATGATTATGGCACTGCATTTATATATTGTTTTTTACAGTTTATATCAATCCTTTAATTTGCTTTTATTCGCGATTTTCTTGTTTTTTTTTCTTGTGGTCTGTTCAGGTCTTCATGGTGAAAGTCATCCTCCCACAGAAGGCGCTGCGGCTAAAGGGTCCGCGTGAATACCGTGAGGTGTTTGCCGCCATACGAAAATAAGTTCCCTGCTGCTGCTTCTGCGTAGCGCTGCAACATGCATCTCCTGGCTGACACCCGTCTGCTCCATAACTGATAGAGCAGAGACATGGTGGGGGGAGCATAGTTGAAACGGCTTTCCCTCGTCATCCTGTGAACATCCTGCATAATTAAAAATTACGTTGTAATCAAGCAAAATTGAACTCCTTCAGCCTTCGTTTACGAACCATAGATATTACCTGATGATTGTTTAAGCCTTAATCCTTATGCATGATTAATTTGCAGGGCTAGGGAAGCGGGTGGAGAGGCAGACTGCTGCGAGGTTAGGCCACAGATTTTTGGCTCATCTGCGCCCATTTATACTCGAAATCCCTGAGATCGGGTAGGCGTGGCCGCATGTTTCAACTTAACCTGAAGGTGTCTATGCTTCTGGTGAGATATCATCTTGACACAATTGTTGTCGTGTCTCTGTCCAACACAGAACAAGATGACAGTTGTCCCAGACTGGAATATTCCACGAGTAACCAGTTCCGTGCCATGTTCAAATGCCACGCCTACTCTGGCTCAGGGATAAGGAGTGTAGCAAAACGCGCTCGCCCAATCTATCTACCTGTGTTGGCCTTATAGCGCAGACGAGCAAAACATAGGTGTAGCTTATCTTCACCCACTGCCCCCTCCCTCCCCTAACCCCTAAACTCCATAAAAGCCTTGATCTTTCCCTCATTATTGCATTTAGTGTTATACGTGGTCAGGAACTCGAGTATGGTATTTTTAGTGTTCCTGTAAATACATGTTAACTTCGAAATATTTCGAAGTCATTTGTTCAAATCGATCGATTATCGATCGGATTGAAATCCCAGTTCGCACAGATGTCATATGCATGTACAGAATGAGTTGTCATAATCGCATATAACCGTCATATTTGTTGTCATGAACTTTTTTTTACTGATTATTTTGTCATAATCGCTGTCATACGAAGCGCTGTCATTTTTATAACGTCATAACGTCGTAAAGGTGTCATCCATCCATGTCATACGTTTTTTTTCTATTTTTGTTTTTTTTCTCATATCTATGACTGTTTTCTAGTGGAAGCTTTGTAAACTGAACATGAAAGTTTGATGCTTTCGAGCTCCACATTTCCATTTTTCGCTGTTTTTGATGTCATATTAGTATGTGTTGACCTTTGTAATTTTTGCTCTGCTATAATAATAAAACCTTACAAATGATGGTGTCGTCGTTGATCAATCCCTTCTTGGGATACGGCAGTCACTACATTCCTATTCAGAATCGTAGTGACTGAATTATTGCGATGTATACAAAACAATGACTTGCGGAACCAATAAACAATTCTGTTTTTATCCTTCTAGTGAATCCAGACTCTCAATTTACCTTCCCCCAGAGGGTTGAAAACAAGATTGGTCTGACGGGAGTCGATCCCGGAATTTCAACACCGGGGCCACTGCCACTCACATTACTCGACGACAAATTAAAGTGGCGTGTTATATAGGCAGTCCGTTCTCAGTTTGCTTAAGGTTCTAAATATAGCGAGGAAAGAGGAGTTATATCGTTTCACGATAGTGTCCCTCAGGATTCGCCGCAGTTTCGCCGATTCGGGTGAGAAACTGCAAAAGTGCAGGGTTTCTCGGCTTATAGTTGCGACGAAAGGAATGAAGACAGTCCTTCCCTAACCTGTTACTGAATGGAAAACGTTTTGCACTTTCGTCGTGTTCAATGAAAGGATAGAAGACATTCGGCGTTGATCATTTTCTTTAAGGATGCCGGACTTGAGATCCATTCAGACTTATAGTGGAATATTGGCCACGTTTTCACTACATACATACCTAATTTCGGAGACTGGGGCCGCGTTCAGGCTTCACGATGAGGCGTGTTGACGCGCTGTGAGGCTGCGTTCATACCCCGCGGCAGCGACCAGCAGCTTCCACCAGCGACCACTAGCGTGCCGAGCGATATTCATGCTCAGAGTGGGGAACGACAATTACAAGAAATACGGTAGGTCCCAAAGACGACGATATCTCAAGAAATCAAAAACAGCTGGAATCCAGAAGAGTTCTTTCTGAAAAGCGCTTCGCTCGCTTTTTCACGTCTACTGTTTGAAAAATTCCTGTTGTGATTCTTTGTGATAAGTCTTGGGCGACGCAAAAAAGCCACATCTTCGGCGCTGTACCATTTCCAGTTTGTTTGAAGACATGAGTGTGCTTCTAAAACACATCCTCCGTCAATGTTATCAGGGAATAGCTCATTCGTCGCTGACTGACATCCTCTCTCTGTTGCGCCATGCATCCTATACCCATGTAGAGGTGTTGGAAAGGTGCGAATTCAAGGTAATGCCTTTTCTGCAAGCAGAAGTGCTCATACGATTCAAAAAAAACTCCAAGCCAAGCTTATACTGTGCTTCGTTTATTTATTAATTGATGATGTCGTCTGGTCGTCTTTGGAACCTACCGTATTTCTTGTCACTGTCGTTCCCCTTTCTGAGCTTGAACCTTGCCCCTGCTTCAGATGTTATTCAGTGCAAGAGCCAAGGGTGAATCTTTTCACATCCACTGATTGTACGACATCTCAGTACTGCTGCCCTTCCCACTTCCTGATGAGTGCTGCACTTACGACTCCCGCTCCTTTGCGGTGAAATACGACCTCTCTGTTGTGATTTCCACAACGACGGCGTGCTCTGGCTACGCTGTGGAGCACTGCCATTGCAACCGCGCTCCAATGCTAGCGACAGGACCAAAGCCTTAGGCAGGTACCGATCTGCGCCAGGCTCTGCAGCCTCGAAAGAGTGAGGGTGAATGGGAGGGTAGGCGTTACCTATTCACACAGTCTGGTACCCTCATTCTTCTATACTCCCCCAAAACACTAGCGATCGGGGCCGCTCGATACCCGTCTATATCATTTGAGCATGGTTGCAAGGGCAGCGCGTCAAGGCGCACTCCGCGAAGTCTGACCTCTGTTTAACCGATACACAAATCAGTGCTTTATCTTCACAGACAGGACATGTACCAAATTACAGTCTCTGACGGATGGAAGCTGTTGGATGACCCAATCCTGAGCTACACTACCTCCGCTGTAAATAGAGAAAGGAGGAAATTTCCCAAAATATGGAGTACAGAGCTGTTCTGAAAAATTAATCAAATAGGTCGATATTCAAGAACCAACAAGTCTGTTCACGTGGATCACACAATATCAAAAATTTGACACATCGAGTACGACAGCATTTGAAACCTACTGAGGTCTCTGAGCAGCTGCGGT